CCAATAGTCTACAACAAGGAATTGGTGAAGAGAGAGTTATTGGATCAGATAACCCTCTTGTGCCCGCAGACCCAAAGCAATCAATGACACAAAGCATAAGGGACACAGACATATAGCAAGAGGGTGAGGAGAAACAGTTGAAAAGCATGCATCTCTCTGGAAGTGCATTATCTATACACACATGTGCTGCAGCTATATACTTTCTGGTGGTGGAAGGGAGAGCTCACTCAAAACCACCGGTGATACAGTTAATAGCCAATTAACCATGGGACTGCTGTTCATACCTCTGATCAGTTACGACAGGATAGAAGGCCTTGGCTTTCCTGGGAGTCCTGACCCTGCTGGAAGTCAACTGTATCTAACTAAGATTTTTTAAAAATGCAAGGGCAGATCAGGGGCTACTTACTACCTTCGTTACTGAATAGTAGAAGCCCCAGGCTGAGGGTCTGAAGGCAAGATGTGAACATTCTAAAAAAGCTCTGCAAGGCCACCAATCCTTAGGTTGAAAGGCAGTCCGAGCTCTCCCAAGAATTCACCTGTGACCCCCTGCTTGAGCATATCAAGCTCCTTGCAGAACTGCTTTCACGGGATAGGTTTCAGATGAAGGGGATCCTGTTTCTTCTGAGGTTGGGCCCCAACTTCAGCCAGGCTTCTCTTTAAAAGCAGAGTCACTATTTGCCCTAAGGCTCTTGGAGGTCTGCCAGCCTCAGGCACTCCTTTGCCTTTCAGCTCCACGAGACTGTCCAGCAAGGAGGTTGCATTCTTCGCATGCCTGAGATGCAGAGCCTGGGCACTGCTGAGGGGCTGGGCTTGGTCGGGCAGTCCTCATCCTCCCAGAATCATAAATGCATAGTACAACAAAAGTCAGCTGTACCTTGTTACCCTTTGCCTCCAGATCTCTCAGGCTGCATGCTGATCCTGGCGGCCTTTTGCTCCACACGAGGGTTCCCCCTTTAAGAATGGCCGTACCAGAAAGTAGAATGTAATCCTGGAATAGTTTTTCAACTCATGCTCAAGGCTGATGCAGCAGATAAAATTTGCACCACGGTTCCAGAAACAAAAAGGGCTTCTCAGGTGCTCTAGACTAGAAATCACATCTGCCCTAGGCTTGCAGGCTCTGAACCTAACCCTTATGGTCCAGATATACATGAGCCTTAGACAAATCGAGATCAATAGGATGGCAGGGCCATATCAGATCTCTTGTCTGCAAGGGCAGCCTGCTAACAGGCTGACCCCTCAGAGAGCTATGGAAGCTTGGGCCCATCGGGTGAGGCAGGATGGCAGGCTCAGTCAGCTGTGCCCCCTCAGAGAAGGGGCCAGCTAGCATGGCTGGAAGATTCCAAACTGCCATGCTCAGCTGAGATTATCTCCTTAAGGACTCAGCCAGGAGCAACCAGACTAACAAGAGGAACAGAATGCAGAAGCAGGAGAGAAAGGACAGCCAATGGTCACAGTTCAGCCTCAAAGATGATCTCTGCCAAGTAGCCAGGGCCAACTGGGACTTCTGACAAGAGGCGAGCCTTAGAAGTGATGTGCTTAAAATAAGAAAAGGAAAATAGTATGTTTGGAAATATATTCTTATGATAGGAGCTACTATACCCTGAGAATTTCCCAAATGCATCATGGGGAAATCTAATGGAGCTACCAAAGTCTGTCTTTAAAAACAGGACAAATCTGTATTTGGGTGAAGGTGTTTTGATAAAGCTTTGCTTACCAGAGTTTGGACTAGAACAGTGGTTTTCAAACCGTTCTGTGAGACCCTAGGGTTCTTTGAGCAGTATTCCCTGGTCTCCCAACTACCTGATTCACAAATACTTGGAACTCCTTTAAAGCTTACACAAGACACACTACATTCAGAAGTCTGATATGCCGATGTTAACCCACTGAGGACCATCAACACATCCATCTGTGCTGTCAGGTAAGCTTGTTTTTGTGAGGCTCTCAGGACCAAGTTTCTTATGCCCTCCATGTGCAAGTATCTGCACTCCCTGAAAATGTGCTAGGGAAGAGGCTATCTTACGTATTTACTTAAATTCTGGCTTCCAAGGAGAGTGGTCGCGAAGAGCTGTACAGAAGAGCACCCTGGGGGGGCCATCACTCAGGGAGACCCAGCCTGTCAGAGTAGTTCCTGTCACAGTGCAGGCCTCGAGGAGGGTAACATTCAGGCCATGATGCCACAGCAGAGCTGGCTTTTGTATTTACTGCATGCTTGGGAGTCTTTCTCTGAGATCTACTCTTTTTTTTTTAAAGATTTTATTTATTTATTTGAGAGAGAGAGAATGAGAGAGAGAGAGAGCACATGAGGGGGGGAGGGTCAGAGGACGAAGCAGACTCCCCGCCAAGCAGGGAGCCCGATGAGGGACTCGATCCAGGGACTCCAGGATCATGACCTGAGCCGAAGGCAGTTGCTCAACCAACTGAGCCACCCAGGCGCCCCGAGATCTACTCTTTATAAGGAACTTGCACTGCTGCTAGATTTAGTAGTGATGCTACTGTGTAAACTGCTCCCTACTGCTCCCACCTTTGGCTTCTGGGATGGAGGTAATTTAAACTGCATGGATCTTGAGATTTCTGAGAGAACTATTAAAACACGGTTGCCATTTCTGGCAACTCCCTCTCTGTGTCAGGATGTTCTCTACACTGGGACCCAGGGATGGACCAGAGGCTGAGGCCTATTATCACTTGCAGTTCTCTACTCTAACCTGTATTTCCAAATTGGTGGTTATCAACATTCTAGAGTGGTTCTTTTTGATTTGAATTTAAACTTACAATTTGGCTTGTATGAAGGGTTCTGCTGCTAAGAAACAAGTTTGAAAACCACTGACTTAGATGAAATCCTGGTTGTATACTTTTATGGAAAGGTAATTACCTAAGCAACTAAAAAGGGGAATTTTGGCAATCTCGCACACCAATCTTCAAGGGCAGAGTTTCTATGACCCCTGGCAGTCAGCAGCTTGAATAACATGGCCTGTTCTAGAAATACTGAAGCAACGCCACAGTCTCGAACTGCATGGCATCCAACAGGTACACAAGTACTATGCGGAAACCATAACCCTGGGGCGGCCCACCTGAACCTCGGAACCCTGTAAGGAGGAGACGCAGACTATCTTCCTTGAGGAAGACTCAGGCTAACAATGAAATGGAGGTACACAAGCCTATTGAGTTATTCTGACTATGTGTTGGAAGATCTATCCCTCATTTTCCATCTCGGCAGAAGTAATCTGTGGGGAAGGATAAGAAGGCTCCCTCCTGACATCAGCAAGAAGAGAAAGCAACGAGGGAAGGGCCCTGTGAGTCCTGTTACAGCTGGGCAGGGCATCCCTGCTTGGCTTAGGCTAACTCCTTCTGGATGGTCAGGCTTAACTCAGGAGGCCAAGGAAGCACATGCAGGGCAGGAAGCCAAAACAAGGATGGTGGGGGACATCACAGCTTCTTTTGGAAGCCTGGAGACCCTCCGAGGTGAATCCGAATCTCCACTCATTGACATGGGCCAGTGCTTGCCTCGCAGTCACACGTCCCAGGCTTCTGGCTTACAGGCTGCTCAGTGGTTCGACTTTTTGCATCTCCTTTGGTGGCCCAGGCTTCAAGCAGTAACTCCAGCATCAGGTAAGGCACAAAACCAAGAACATCACATCCTCATCCTTCTCCTCATCCCATCTCTTCACCTGAAGGTCATCACTGAGTCGACTGTTCAGCTGCAATATCTAGGCCTTGAAGGGCCCGGAAAGATCTTCTTCTATGCCTGAACCCTGACTCCCCCCAAATGAACTTAGAGCCTGCAGAACCCTACGAATTCATCTTGACATCAGGCACATTCTGTGAGGTCAGCTCAGTAAGATCCGATGGCAGCAACTGGCCCCATTCCTGGCTGCCTCTTACTGGTTCTTCTTCAGTTTACAGAGAGCCTGCCTGCCAGGAGATGTAGCCACCCTGTCCCTCTGCCATGCTAGAATAAGGAATAAGGGGTTACTGCAAAGTTAAGTCACCTCCTTTCTTCATCCCCAGCCTCACAACTTGAACGCTGACCCTGGAGGCCTGTGCTCTCTACAAAGACATGGAGGTTTCCCCATCCAGAGGCTGGACTGAGACTCATGGACTCTTGAGAAAGCAGAGATCAGTCACTCCATGCCTGAGTTGGGCCTCTAGTTGGGGCTGGCCCAGTGGTTTGAAGGTCCTTAACCAACAGGGCTTCTTCCTGGCCCTTGGGACCAGGGATGACTCAGGTACTTCCTTGCTTCCTGTGTGCCCCACTGGGCTGAACCCACCTTGCAGGCTCCTTGGATGGACAGTGGGGGTGACTGCACTATGTTCCGCAGCTCTTCCCTGGACATGGCAGCCACTGAGCGTACGGCCCTCACAGCCATTCCCGTGTCTACCTTGTGCTGGCTCGCCACCGTCCCCCGAGCCTGTCCACCCTGCCCCGAGTGACCAGCCTCTGGGAGACACAGAGCCCAGGTTCACACTGGAGGAATGGTGAGGGCTCTGTGGGGCATGTGTCCTCCCATTCTCTGTGTGGTCAGAGCAGGAGAGGGAGCCCACAAAGCTAAACACTGGAGGTGGCAGGTGGGGAGCAGGCTGGGGGCCCCGCTCGTGCAGTTCTGTGATGGCTCCTTGTGGTACAGTGTCCCTCATTCCCAGCTATTTTCTTCTAGAGGAAACGAAGCAGGGGAGGGGGAAAGGAGGAAGAAGAGAGGAGGAGGCCCAGTGCTTGCCATCAATACATGAAGTGGACTGAGAGTTCGTTCTACAGATAAATGGCAAATCCTCCGAGAGGGTGGAAGAACAAGTCCAGGTCTTGGGGCAGTCCCAAACAGAGATGCTTTCCTTTTCCTTTGCTTAATAGGAAGCCCCAAACTCGGTGATGAAGGGCCCCAGAGAACCCTGCTGGAAAAGCAGCTGAACTCCACGTGAGGTGACACAAAACTAGCCTACCATGGGTGGTGGGGGCAGGGGCTTTCCTTTAGGAACAAACCTCCTCACAAAGGAGACCCAGACAATACCTGCTTCACCACGGAGCGCCTTCTCCACGGCAACCCCTCGTTCCTCCAGTTGCCTCTGCTTCTCCTCCACCTGCTCCAGCTGCCGCTGGATAATCTACAGGAAAAGAGAACAGCGTGAGCACCCAACTTTCTCTCTCGTCTCCTAGCTTTCAGGAGGACAACTAAACTGTACAAACACAAACAGGGAGAAAAACAAATTAGGTCTGAAAGTTGGAAAGGCTTTTGTTCACGGGCATTAAGCCCGGAGTGGGGTGTAAAGACCACCCGCATCGAATCCCCCAGGGCCTGTCGTTAGTAAGCAGCACAGCTTACTCGTCCAGCCCTCGGCAGGGCAGCTCAGACACAGGAAGTGACGTCAGCTCCTGCAGCAAGGCCTGAGGTACTGCATCCTAAGTAAGACCCTGCCAACAGTGAGGTTGCTAAAGCCCTAGCAGGGGTTCTTGGAGGGTACTGCCGAAATCCTGCCTCTAGAAGATTAAAAAAAAAAAAAAAAATTCTAGAATGGAGCAATGCACTAGAATCTTTTTGGAAGCGTATAGTGAGAAGTTTCTCTGTGCTACGTGGGGACTAATCATGGATACCAGAAGGACATTCAACCCCCAAAGCAGCAGCCCATGACATATATCTGGAAAATGGCACACAGAAAACGAAATAAAATCCAAGGATCCAATCATTGCAGAGAACGTGGATACAGAATAATGTTCAAGAAAAGGACTAAAAGATTGGTGGTTTTTGATGCTTGCTAAAATTGAAATTCAGCAGCATAACTTGGTATTTGGGTTTGCTGTTAATGTTTCTCATTGTTTATACCTTTTGATTAGTGTACTAATATGAATACAACTCTACATGCACAATTTCATTACAAAAACATATTGTATTTAGATATCTTTTAATACTTTATATAAAGAAATGATTTTTTGTTCCAGAAAGAAAATCTGGAATGGTCTAGGATCTGTGAGGCCTGAAGATAGAGGCTGATGCCTGGAGGACAGCTCTGACCTGGAAATCCCAGGCCCACCAGAGGCTGACGGGTCACAGATGGCCTCTCGATGACAGTCCTCACAACTGAACTAGTTGACTTTACAATGATTATTCCACAGCAAAGAATTGAGGGAACTCAAAGCCCAGCTCTTCCTTTCTACCAGGAACTCCATAAAAACAAGGCTTCTGCAGTTGCATCAAGCCAGAGGCTTGTGGCCTGACATGTTGGGGCCATCCTCTCAGGTATCAGGGACACCCCATCTACCTCTGCTCTGTCCTCTCTACCCTCCCGCGTCGTGGACAAGGACAAGCATGTCGGAGAGGAGGGGGCTCTTTCCCACTTAGGAGCTGTGGCCCCTTCAGGGATTTTACCTGGGCTCGGTGTAGCCGCTTCAGTTCCTCTTGCTTGGCCTGTCTCCGAGCTGCCTTCTGCACACGCCGGGTCAGCTTGGCGTTCAGTTCCTCCTCTGTGTAAGTTCTTGGCTGCAGAGAATGAGAGAAATTCCCTCAGTCAGATGCTGCAGGCCTGGGCACAGAGAGCACTTCCCCTAGGTCAGAGCTGCCCTTCTGCAGAGTGCCTGCAGGGTAGACGCCCAGGCTGCGGCTCGGCCAGAGGCTTCACTGACACTCGTCCTTGCTGGAGCCCTAACTGCTACAGGGTACAGCTGAAGCTCTACAAATGAGATACTTCCCCACTGTGACAGGGACAGGAGGCTGAGTGGGGACTGACCGTTAGAAAGTTAAAAGGACCAAGGGTGATGTGCTCCTTTATCACAGAGATCACCTGTTTCCCATGGAAGGATGTCTGCTCTTTTTAAGACTTTCTGGAGGTAAAAACATGATAATTAGTTCCCCCAAGCTTCCTGCTTCTAGGAGGGCATTGCAGAAATGTATGCCTGTACAGGGGAAGGAAAAAGAAAAATCGGGATCCTTTTATTTTCTTGTTTAGTATCAAATGCCACTTCCTTCAGATGAATATTTATAAGGTTCTCTTAAGAAGTAACATCTAAAGTAGAGAAAATGGGGATGCTTCTATTTTTAAGTGTGAGTGAACCCCAAACTAACTAATGCAGTCTGAAGAAGGGAGATACGGAGGCGAGCCCGGACTGCCCCCAGGGTCTGCACAGAGGCAGCAGTCGGCCACTGAGAGGGGCGGGGAGGTGGTCCGGCAGGGCAGTTTCAGCCACTGCTACCAAGCCCTAAGGAGGCAAGAGGCCAGATGCAGGGCAAATCCATGGACACAAGTGCCTGAGCAACTCCACCTGCAAATGTGGGCATCGAGGGTGCAAGGCAGTGTCAGACGCCTTGTGTAAACAGTGAGCAACCACCAAGAGGCAAATGCTGAGGGGTTTGCCGCTATTCCTAACATCTTCTTTATTTCCTCCAAGGAAAACAAAGAGAGACTTTGATAGACTTTAAAAAGTCTATCAAATTCAACTCAGGAGTATAGTCTAATAATCTTTATTTTAAGAGCTCAAGGACAGTGGAGGGCCAACTGAGCAGGTAAGTCCTTATGGAACATCGTGGTGTTCTAGCACCCTAAGCATTTCACCTTGCAGGTCGTGGAGCTGAGGGCTCGCGAATTCCCCATTCCTGTGGTGCCCAGTCCCATAGGGGCAGCCCTGGAGTGAAATTACCACTGCTACATGCACTCCAGCCAGTCAAGAGCAGGGCATCTCCCCTTCCTCCGCCATGACACAGCTAGAGAGAGTTCTGGGGCCCATGTTCACTACTGCTCCATGCATGTGTGAACAGTTAGTGAGGATGTGGCTGGAGGGCCAGGGCTAGAGGCTGCTCCGGGTGGTTAATCACAGACATGCATGCAACAATGACCAGCCATGGGAATGAGACACTACCTTTGATGCATATGATCTCCTGAACGCCAAGGCGTGTGGTACATAAATCAACTTTTAAGGGGATGGCAACAGAAAACAAAATAGTAATAATAACAATTAAAAAATTAAAAATAGAACACAGAAATGGAGCAAAATCAGTTAGAAGTTTAAAACAAACACGCAAGACTAAAGACTAAAACACATGATTATTTTTCATAATGTCACACAGGACTGAGTAAGTGAGGAACCTGGGGATACAGATCCTAGCAGCAGAGTCTCAGTGAACCCTGTTTTGAATAAGGACTGGGTTCACTTTTTTACCTAGAAGACAGCTTCTTCCTCACTATGCCCCAGATCTTCTTTCTTCTCTTTTCACTCTCCCTTGTGTATAATAAACTAAAGCTGTCTAAATACACGGTTATAGATGCCAATTCTCCTTCAGTAACCCATTTGTTTGTGAAAATTCAGACTACTTCTTTCAGCTCAGTGGGGGGCAGGCACTGGTGGTGGGAAATTCCTGTTGCCAGGGCCACAGAGACACAGACACAGAGCAAACTGAGTATCAGACCTAATGTTCTCTTCCAAAAGGCTCTCTCCTGGCAGTGTGGGCCAGGTGGGTTCCTAGTGGGCCACCCAGAAATCCTGGATGGGGGCGGAGGCCATTTCTTGATTATGCACAGTGAAAGGGGGCCTAAAATAGCATAAGTAACTGATATTCACCAAAAATACTTCAGGCACATATGTCTTCCCTCAGACTGACTCATCTCTCCCACAAACCAGAGAGGATGAATCTCAGTATTAGAACAAATCAGCTAAAAAACAGAAGATAGATGGTTTCCCCAAGCAGCATGTGAACCACTCCATAGAAACTACGTAACCACACCTAAGGAGTAGCACTTAACGTCTGCACCTGCGGCTGCTGTAAAAAGTAAAGGGAGTGGGGGCAGTCACTGACTGACTTCTGGCGGGGGCAGGAGGCGGGGGTCAGGTACCACCTTGGCAGAGGCAGCGACTCGAGGGGAGAAATTATGAAGCGTGTGCGGTGTGTTGAGAGAACGAGGCCAGCCAGAGCCGCTGCTTCTGCTGTGACATGGGGACCAGGGTCTGTCCCACAGCCTCTGCACACGCCCATGGCTGGGCCACAGAGGTTAGGACGCAGTGCATCACTTATTTTTATTTAAAATGTTTACTTAGAAAAATTAAGATAATACAGACTAAATCTATAATATCACCTGTAACCCTACCAACAAAAGATAATTCACATTCGCCTCTTTTCTTTGCCTGAGCCTGACTTTAAATATAAGTTATTTTCAATTTTAAGTGTTTTTTTGTTGTTTGTTCTTTATTTTATTTTTGTGTATTTGTTTATTTTTATTGTGTTATGTTAGTCACCATACACGTTGTAATGAGCACTGGGTGTTATACGCAAATAATGAATCATTGAATACTACATCAAAAACTAATGATGTGCTGTATGGTGGTTTTTTGTTTTTTGTTTTTAAATGAAACAAAACTCAGGCACTTGTTTCACAGATGCCTGACTCAGAGATGGGTCTGTGATGCAAGAGGAACCGTTTCTTCCAGCCACTAGAGATGCTCCCTCCTGACCCCACTGTCCCTTTGTGTCCCACCTTCCTGCTCTGAAAATTTTCAAACCTAGGAAAAGTTGGAAGAGAACAATGAACACCTTTGCCTAGATTTGCTAAATGTTAGAATTTTGCTACATATTTGATATATAATCCTTATATATAATCTTTTTTTTTTCTGAAAAAAACCCACACCATGGTAGGATTCAGATCAACATGTCCTAGGCTCAGCTTTGTCTTTTGTATTCCCTGCTCAGCCCCCAGCAAATGGCTCTGCCTCTGTAGGGACACACATGGAATGTGAAGCCCCCCACGCCTCTGATTCTGGGATTCTAGGAGTGGGGGCCATGACTTGTTGGTCACGTAGAAGGGGAAGAGCTCCCTATGTGCCTCAGGTCAGCAGGGCCCCAGGGGAGGCTGCCCTCAGTGACACATATTGCTGAGAAGAAAGCCTTGGCATGGCCAGCTTGGGCAGCCTGCCATTCCATGTTCTGCCAGGATGTTTCATTAATTGGGAAACAGTGGAGAGACTGACCACAAAAGCAACCACAGATGGGAGTTTCTGACCAACAGGAGATGAACCGGCTGAACATCTGCATATCTACATGGAAGCAAAGTGGAACCCTGGACCACATTCTCCTTCACAGACCACCCCCCTCTCCGCGAACCCCCTAAGGCTGTGCCAGTCCCCACTCTCAGCACATGTTGAGGGACCCAGGTACATATCCAGAAGCAATTCTTAGTCCCAATGTCATTCCAATGCTGCTGCCTGGCAAAGCACAATGGGGAGCACTTGATAGGAGACCCATGAAGCCAGGCTCCTGGGGGAGAGCCAGCACACAGGGTCCCAACCCTAACTCAGTGCTGGCCTGGCCGGGACAGGTGGGAGTTGGCTCTGCACATGGCAGGGAGGGATCAGAGGCCTGACTGGTCAGGTGTCTTTCTAGGAGAGTGGACAGGTAAATAGCTGGTATGGCCATGGGAGGCCAACAGACCAAGAATGAGAGGAGAACTAAAAGATGGGTTTCCTCCAGTGTGCCAAGTTGTTAAAAGCTGGACTGGGCTGCGAGGAGGGGACTGGCCACAGCTGCAGAAGCCATCTTTACTGACCAGACACAGGTGAGGCTCAGGTCTGCTGTGGCAACTCCCTGGAAGCCTACAGAGGCAGACTCAAATGTGAGCCTTGGAGAGCCTTGTAAAGAAGGTATATGACCTTCTGGGGACATCTGTCATTCAGAAAAGGGAGCTGAAGATAGCTGGGCTGTTGCCTGGGACAGGAGGCTGAGTGTGTGTCCCAGGCCAGACAACAGAGATGGTGCAGCTTCAACTGTCCCTATGTGCTGCCCAGGCCTTTCTGGATTGTCGTCCTCACCCCATCACTGTCTCCGTGATGCCGATGCCCTGTTACTTTCTCTAATCCCTCTCCCTCCTCCAACTTCACTGTCTGTATCTACACAGAGCTACAAGAGCCCTTGGAAATCAGAAGATTGAATAAATATCCAAGAGCCCTCCACATTGCGGGTTAGCTTTCAGGAGAGGTGAGTGGCCACCCCAGCTCCTAAGCCCGGGGCAGTAAGAGGGACCAAGTCAGATCCATAGTGCCCTACTCAGCACAGAATCCAGGTCAGTTTTCTGGACTGGTTCTTTAATAGTAAAAATTACTCTTTAATCCATAAACGTACAAAGCACGCAGGATGACAGGGCACATTCCTTAGTGACTCAGCCTCCACCTACTGCCTAAACCCATAGTCCCCGTCCCAACCTCCACCAGACTCTGGGGCACGGACAACCCTTCTCCTGTCACTCTGGACACTGGCGGATGCTATTCCACATGGGAATTCTGAGGACAAAAGAATGAATGGACAATGCCAGCGGCTTGGAAAAATCGAGTGAATCTTTGAGGACGAAACACAGGAACACTTGCCACTGAAACAAGCCCCAGCTGTTCCCTAGAAAAAAAGCCCAAGAAAAGAACTCCCTTTATGCCTCTCTTACTTGGGCCTGGGCTGGGCTCAGGATTCAGCTGTGGGCTGCCGGAAGATCAGAGGAGGGCCCCACTTTCCACCCCGGGCTGGAGATTTGCTTTCCCTTTCTTCCACCTCAGCAAAGACCAATACTACACAGAGGTTTTGGGCTGGGCTTGACCCCTACGTACCTCTCGCCTGGACTTCTGGGAAGACCTCTCAAGGATGTCGTCACTGGAGAGGTCTGAGTCCTCGGAGAAGCTCAACTGGCGCCGCAGCTGCAGCTCTGAGGGGATGGAAAGAGGCAAACCGAGGACACCACGGTGCTTTCCTGGTTCCTACATGCACACGCGCTGCCCAGGGGAGTCGGGGAGAGGCTGGACTTCTTGGCAGTTTGAGGGGCTCTAACCCATGTGGGGGAGCCAGGAGCTTGGAGGCTGACACCTGTGCCTGCCGGGGCAGTGTGAACACTAAATAGACGGCATCCGACGACAGCCCGCCTGGCGCCTTCCCCGGGGTGCTGAGCTCTGCCTTGCTCAGAATCAGGCCCTGCCCTGGGGCCGTGTGACTTGAGGAAGTGCACACACCTCCCAAGTCTTACGAGTAAGCTGGGTTTTAGAATTAGTCTATCACCTGGAATATGCTCTGTGAGCCCGTGGTTCTGCTTCCTTCTTCCTTACCCCATTAGCATAGCTCCTAAGAACCCTCGGGGAAGCAGCAGGAGAAATGGATCTTTTGAGGAGAACCAATGGCTGGACGACACACCCCTTATGCCCTGCCGCAGGAGGAATCCCCTGGTGCTGACATACCTGCTCTCACAATGGGAGACATCCTGTGCTTGCCTGAGTCCACAGTGGCACCACTGGAAGGGGTGCTGGAACAGGACTTGTCATCGCCCTTCTTCTTCTTGTCCTTCTTGTACCCAGAAAAGACGGACTTCCACAAGGACTTGGGCTTGGCAGCGGCTTCCTCCAGGAGGTTTGGGCTGGGCTTCTCTGGAGGCCGGCCCTCGCCTTTGGACTTCTTCTCTTTCTTGTTTCTGCGGGGGGAGAAGAGTGACGATCTCTTCTTGCTCTTCCCACTGGAGCCCTCAGATGAGGTGACCGAACCATCGGGGCCCCCTGAGTCCGACGGAGGGGAGAGGACCTCCTCACTAGTGGCTTCATGCTTCAGGGTAGGCTCCCTGGGGCCTTTGAGAACGGGGCGTTTAGGGGACTCGGGGCCGAGGTCTTTGCCCTTGGAGGCAACTGAGGAGGCTTTGCGGGAGGTGCCTCCTGGGGGCCTGGAGGTCCCAGCTGCCATCTCCATCTCCTTCATCCTACTCAGCTGCTTGGCCATAGCGTCTCTCAATGCCTGGCTCTTCACAGATTTCTCCCTGGCTCGCATGCGCTCCTCAGCCAGCTCCTTGGCTTCTGGAGAGACCACGGGCAGGCCCCTCTTCTGTGGTTGGACCCCACTCTCCAGAGTAGGCAACCTACCATTCTCCTTGGCTAGGGGTGGGTGGAGGGACCTCTCTGTGTGGGGCCAGTGGGAGGGGGGTGTGAAGAACTTCTCCTGTAGACTCGCGTCCTCCGTCTTGTCATCATAGGTATCCTCCACGTCATCGGCAAAGGGGATCTCATCCACACTCTCCACAAACGACTTCCGCAAGTCCTCTCGAGGGGGCTGGGCAGGCTCTCGGGGGGCCCGCATAAAGGAGGCAGGTGGTGGGGGTGGGATCACCGAGGCCTTGGGCTTGGTCTCCTTATGCTCATAAATCTGATATGGCTTCCTTCGAAGAGTTGCGGGCTCCTCATCCTGGGGTGGGGGTGGAGGTGGGCTTGAAGGTGGAGTGAGCATGGTGGAGTCTGAGGTGTTGAAGCTCTGGCTGCCCAAGGTTTTCATGTTGGAGGAGCTCCCATGAAGGCCCAGCCCAGAGCTGCTTGACAGATCTCTTCTCTCCTCATGGGAGCTTTTCAGCTCTCTGTCAGATGGGGACTTGGGGGTCGGCAGGGAGGGCTGGTCACCATCCGACTTCGGCAGGCCTAGTCTCTTAGGAACAGGTGGAGGTTTTAGAAGCTGGAGCCCCTCACCCTGAGGAGACTTCTCAACTGAAAAGGATTTTAGGGACACTGGTTTAAAGGCAGGTGAGGGGAAGCTGGACTCGGACACCTTGCTCCGATCCACAGGTGTGAGCCCGAGGCTGCGGCGGATCTCGGCGCTCTTCATCCAGAACTCTGCCACCAGATCGTTCCGTTTCAGGGCCTCATCCACAGCGAGAGGGCTGCCCAGTCTATCCTTGGTGTCCCTTTGGTTCTTCAAGGGGAGGGGAACCACGGGGATGGATGTTTTGGCTGGAACAGGCTGGAAGCATATGGGGGACTTGGTGGGGGACGGGATAGTGGCCTCAGAGGAAGGCTGAGGCTGGGAGCAAATGGGGAGCTGGGTGGTGGTGGGGGTGGAGGTGGCCAACGGTGACAGGCGCTGTGAACTAACTGGGGAGGTAGGTGTCCTGGCTTCCGGCAGAGCCACTGGCTGCGATCGGATAGGAGAGCGCACAGCTCTCTGGTCAGTGGGCACTTCTGCTTTGGGCTTCACTTTGGGGAGCAAAGGTTCAGGGAAAAGGCTCTCCTCGGGCAATTTCACTTTGGTAGCAACAGAGACAGGTGGGATTTGGGCTCCCTACAGAAAAGGAAGATAGAAGCTGCTTAGAAGGAAGGGTTCAATGGTCAGAAGAAACCTATTGGGGAGCTCTCTCTCAAAGGGCCTGTGTTTATGAAATAAATTCCTCTCTCTGTCCTTTAGGCTGTCATTCAAATGGCTCCAGGAGAACCTTCCTCACTTTTTGCTCTATTTGTTCAATTTTTAAAGCCACTCTACTTTACTGAACAGACTCAGCTTTCAGCGTTTGGTTCATCTTGAACACACCCTACATTCTTTGTGCACTGAAATGGACACCTGCCCAAAGCACACTAATGGACCCAGCTCTCCTGACTATGGACCCCAAGAGCTCAAGACCTCTGATGTATGAAGACAGGGGCCCATACTGTAAGATTTAAAACAGCTATTTTTTTTTTACAGTCTATACTACAAATTGCCCTTCCCAGGAAGCTCAAAGATCCAGCTATTCCTGCACAAATCCTTATATCACCCCACCCATTAGTCTCAGCAAAGCTCGCCCAATTTCACGAATGAAATCACCAAATTCATCTTGCTTCTTAGAATCTCAAAGACCAAACCAAGCCAACCCAGGTCTTGAGTTTGGCCTCCTTCCCTGACCTGTCCTCCACATAGCATTTCCCAAAACATATTCCATAGGACACACTGTTGCGATCTGTTTACATAGCATTCTTCAATGTGTGGCTCACATACCACTGGTAATCTGGGGGAATATTTTTAATTTTAAAACTCAGTCATACGTTCATTTTAATATAACACTAAGAAACAAACTCATCTGTCATATCAGACCAATGATTCCACAAAAATTATTGCTTTAACTTAAAAATAAATTTACTTTTAAAATGGTGTGGCATGACAGCAGAGTGACACAGTGGGGGGATGACTCAGGTCTGGGTACAGGTACAGCTCAGGGTTAGGGCGATGCTGCCTGGACTGCCTTGTCCTCATGGTGAGGACTGAGTTGGATCCCCAAGGCCACTCCTGTTTTCAGCAGCCCCACTTCGCACAAGCAGCAAAAAAATGGGTTCACAGCAAGGGCCCTAAGATGAAGGAATTCATATGTCCACTCAGGGTCCCATCAGTTCTGTCCCCATAGTGATCCCTGAGCCCTTACCTCTGCCACAGGGCTGTGGCCTGGGGAGAGCAGACCGGCTTGCTCCTCAGGAGACGGGGCAGGGCTGAGGACTTGGGCGGGACCTGAACAGAACAGACACAGGCTTTATAAGAGGAAGCACCCCGCCCTTCCTGCTGAGGGTTCCTCTCCCAGCCATCTCTGCGGGGGGGGTTGCTGTTGGCCAGCAGAAAGTGCTTTCCCAGAGTGTCCCTGAATGCCACCTCTGCTCATGTTGGAAGTGCAGACTTTTTTCGCATGTGTGTGATCTGTGTCCAGCTTGGAGATGTACCTCCGACCCTTTCATGGCTCCAGAGCACACACAGAAAGGGCTGTTGGCCGAAGCCGCGTGCAGGGTCCATGCACGGGGAAGGAGGACGGCAAGCAGAGCTGTGTGCCATTGGAGGCTGGCAGTGCATCAGCCCTGCACCAGCTCCCTCAGGGGACCTGTGTCCTGGGGGCTGCTCTCGTCCCTGCAGGCTCTCAGTGGGAATTTTGGAAGCAGTTTCTCCTGAGTCAACAGACTTACTTCTCTCCTGGTGCCCTGGTGTGGTGACGGGTTGCTCCTCCTCACTTTCTGATGCCCTCAGCTCCAGCTCCGCTTCCACCACTGCCTGTTGCTGCATGCGAAGCTCCGTTTCGGCTTCTGACGGGATATCATCAGACCAGTGCTGATCTGGCAGAGGGAAGGGAGGGCACAGACCACCCGAGTGAGGCCCTGCTTCTTTTCAAGGCTCCTGCCATCCCCAGAAAGCAGCCAAACCAGCATCTCGGCTTGAGGTGTAGACCTGTGCCACAGCTGGGCCCTGCCTACTGGTCCCCAGTGAGAGACTTGGCCCAAAGCCCCTTATACTCTGCAACATGGTGCTCTCATCAAAGCCAAATGCACAAGACGGCACTTGATGGACCAGAACAGAGAGAAACACAGTGCACGTGCCTGTGAAGGGCAGGCTTTGCTTCGTGGACTCACCAATGGTCTGTGTTTCCCGCAACACCACAGCGACTCCGTGCTCCCTCACAGGCTTGTCTGGACTCTTCTCATTTCTCCCAGGCTAGTCCCTGCCCCCTTTTCCCCAACAAGTAGACTGTAATTCTTAAAATACCATCTCCTTGCAGCTACCTTTCAGAGGACATCCACTGAATTAGAGGCCCTTGTCTAAAGCACCCAGTCTGCTCAGTTTCTCAACCACAGCTCACTGAACACAGGCTCTGCTGTCTGCTGGCTTAGGGGTGGAATGACACACATTCAAGTTAGTGCCAGGACAAGGAACACGAGCAGGGGACCTAATGGCGGCCTCTTCTGAGTGCCTTGCTTTTGCTTTAACGTATATGATCTTTCCTGAGTTGCATTCACACAGTGGGGAAGAGGGCGGTCAGCACAGTGGAGAGGGGAGGCTCTGGGGTCCCCCGTACCATCATCCAGCTCAGCACCAGTGTCCCCTGTGTCCCCATTCTCCGCTGCCTCCCCTTCTATCTCTGCCGGCTCCGAATCCACATCTTCCTCCAGGTCATTCTCATCAAATGGGACTGTAAAGCAGAAAGGTTCAAAGGAAGGAAGAAAAGGACAGACAGATGGACAGAGAGACTGCCTGTGCAGGTGTAAGGGGGCAGTGGTCTTCCCAGGGCTGCAGTGTGAAGACCTCGAGAAGCAGGGAGATGGATTCCGAAGTGTCTGGATTTGGACCCCAAGGCAGACGTCAGCCAGACTTGGGGGAGCTAAAAGCAGTGTGGGCGCTGGCGAGGGCCCAGGGCCCTTCCTGAACACACGGGACTAGCACTGCTCAACGCCAGCAGGGTCAAGTGGAAGAGGGAGAGCAGCATCAGGTCTGCTCATCTCCCCTCCTCCCCCGGGGCTGCCGGAAGCTCCTTGGTGTGAGAAGAGGGGAGACGCTGCTTCTCCGGGCCCAGCAGCAATAGCAGCTCTGGGCTGCGTCACATGCCATGAGTCACTGAATCCTCACAACGATTCACTAGAGGGGCTGGGGGAAACCGAGGCCACACGGCTCCATCTAGCAGCTCCGTGCTATGTGTCGGTGAAATCACTGCCGTGTGAGGGACCAAGAGGACCCCCGAGGGCACCTCCCTCCCCTTTCAAATGGCAGAGGTTGCAGCTTCGCTTGGGGTAACTCAAGAGAAATGTGTTGTTGTTTTTTAAAGCATGAGGGAGACGGTGAGGGGATATGTAAAGTTCATTTTCTAGACTCAAGAATAGCCCTTCAGTGCTGCAGAATGAGGCAAAGCACTTGTCGACTTCATTTTCCTCAGGAGGAACCAGCCCCCAAACATACACACACATACACACATACACGCACACACACACACACACACACTCTCATTCAGACCTGTTCCCAACCTCTGCACACCTGGAGCTCACACTAACAGTTTGGAGTAAGAGAAAGCAAGTGAGAAAGCAACGCATGCTGCTTTAAAGGATGCCGTGAGATCCCGTGGTCCCCGGGACTGAGAGTCCCCGTTGGTCAGGGGTCCTGAGGGCTTCTTCTAGGGTTCGAAGCACAGCCACTCACCAAACAGTCCTAATTGTTCTCACTTCAGGAAAAGGGGTTATGTTTACATTTGCATATCCAAGAGCTGGAGACTCCAAGCCCAAGGGGTCGGGTGGGCAGCAAGGGCACTGGCGGTGGCAGAGCTGGGGAGATTTCTTCAAAGACGGTACCACAAGGAGAGGCCGTGCAAGGACCAGGCCCTCTCAAATCACTGGTCTTCCCATTGTCCAGCCTCCTGAATCTGTACCCCTGCTACGGTGAGCATGTGCACGGTGAGTGCGGACACCAAGGTCTGAGTGTGATAAAAATCAAGTGACTACCTGTGGAGGTGGGGTGGGGAAGACAGGGAAGGAGCACTCTGAAGATGCTGGCTTGACCTAGTCACAGGAGTTTTTGTTAAAAAATATATATATAATTCCTTGGGGCGCCTGGGTGGCTCAGTCAGTTGAGTGTCTGACTCTTGATTTCGGCTCAGGTCATGATCTCAGGGTGGTGAGATCGAGCCCTGCGTCAGGCTCCACACTGGGCATGGAGCCTGTTTCAGATTCTCTCTCACCCTCTGAACATGCCTCCCCACCCCCGCTTGCTGGCACAGCCGCACACACTCTTTCTCAAAAAAAAAAAAAAACAATAAAAATAATTCCTTAAGCTGTATAATTATCTTACCACCCCTTTTGTCTACTCAGCTTATTAAAAATAAGGTGATGACTTGCATCTAATTCTGGAGAACCATTCAAAATAGGTTTGGAATGGACTCCGGGGAAAGACGGGTGAGTTCCAGAATAAATCCTAGGCTGGCGAATAGTTAATGTCACACTCCTCCTTTTGAGATACCGTGGAGCTGGTAATGCCAAGATGCTTTCCTGTGATGGTGGCATTTGTGGGGAAAAATACTGGGGGTAAAACTACTCAATTATTTCCACAGGTTTAAAATCTTTGTGTGGTAATACTGCTGTTTCAGTTCATCATACACCATGAAGTGGGACTTCTGAGGAACACACAAGTCTCTGTGCCTCCTCAAACCTGAGCTTCCTGTCTGGATAACGAGCTCATGGTTTTATGACACCATTTCTGAAGAGGTGGGGACACAGATGCCTCTCTTCCCCCAGCATTTTTCTCCTTTGGCAGTCACCCCAACCCAGGGGAAACAGAACCAGGGCTCATCCCGCTAGGGTCCACTGTGCCCAACACGCATGCCCAAGTAAATCTATGAGTGCCTGGGCATCAAGATGGTAATTTATACTTCTGTTGGCAAGTGCACCGGATGTGAGCACAAAGGAGACCACGACAGGACTCCCCAGTCTGGCACTGTTCCAGTCACACTGCCCCACGTCAGCCTGATCCCAGCCCCGGTCCCTTGGCCCTCACATGGTTCTCCGACTCAGAGTTGCTATTAAAAAGTGACTATGGACTCTGAGAAACAAACTGAGGGTTCTAGAGAGGAGGGGGTGGGGGGATGGGTTGGCCTGGTGATGGGTATTAAAGAAGGCATGTACTGAATGGAGCACTGGGTGTTATACGCAAACAATGTATCATGGAACACTACATCAAAAACTAATGGTGTAATGTATGGTGATTAACATAACATAATAAAAAAGCAAATTAATTAAAAAAGAAAAGAAATGTCTGTTGTAGAGTCAGAAAGGTACTAAGTCTACAGTCCTTGGGAGTACCTTGAAAGGAACAAGTGTCACATATATTAAAAAACAAACAAGTGAGAAATATCAATGCAGCAGCAGATACTGGAGAAACGCAGCTTGAGGGATGGAATTGGGAGATTCAACCCAGGTTAAGATGGAGTGCAGAGTGCTAGAAGCTGCCACACACTATGGAAGCTAGGAATCACAGACATACGTAGCTTTTGCTTTATTTCAGCTGCCAGCTGGGAAGTCCTGATACCTCAGCCTCTCCAACCATGGTGGGAGACGTGACTAACTAACTAGGAGGGATGCCCAGCCAGCTAGGGTCTGGCTCCCTGTGGCTCTGTGACTTGTGTGCCTGTGTCCACTCTTCCTGCTGCGAGTGAGGACAATGGGCTGGGCTGGTAAGAGGCTGGTGGTAAAGATCCATGAGCTCCAATCCTACCCATCCCAGAAGCAACCACTAGGACCAGAGTTCTCAACCAGGGGGGCAATGCTACTCTTCTTCAAGTGGTATTTGATATTGTGTAGGGCATTTTTTGGTTGTTGCCTGGATGGCTGTGGCAGGAGGTAGAGGCTGCATGGCTGACGTTTCGAGGGCCGAGGCCAAGGAAGTTAAATGTCCTGCAATGCAGAGAACTGTCCTGCCCTCGCTGAGCACTGCTATGGCCCGCGTTGAGAAATACCTCTCCAGAAAAGGTTAGGAAGGACAACCAAGGTTTCTGAGCTATCTCTTGGCCTAAGTATTTAAACAGACCCCGCACCTCAGTATGCAGACCCAGTGGACGCTACGTCTAGTTATACCCAGCCTGTCCCTCTGAGCTGGACAACATCCACCAATCCTCTGTTACCCCCTCTTCACTGAGGAGTCTTCCACAAGTCCCTGAGTACTGAAAGTCTCCTTTTCTGTACTTTGGTGGGTTTGTGGAATATTAACCAATTCCTCTACTTTTATACCCAACTGCTACACAAGTTATACAGACTTTAAAAATCACTGCTAAAAATGTTCCCTCAGCTTTGGCCTTTACTCAACCTTTAGCAGTAGTAGTAGTAGTAGTAGTAGTAATAATAATAATAATAATAATAATAATAATAAAAAGTTTAGTCAGTTCTGTCTATGCTACTGCTCTCCTCCAGATCTTCCCTGAAGGGCGTGGGGTGCGCATCCGGTCCATGCAAGGATGGGCTGCCTGAATGAGGCATGCATGTGCCCCCCCCCCAACCCTGGCATGCACTAGCAGCAGGACCAGAATTCTAGTGTTAAGGTATCAGCAGAGCTGCCAAGAGAGAGTGGTTATGGTGAGTGGGGAGAGAACAAACATCACCAGACTACCTCCGGAGACTGTCTCCAGCCAGGCCTGCACGGCTGCGCGGCGTATGGAGGGAAGGTCAGGCACTGAATTTAAAACAGACGATAGATACAAAGTTACACAGGAATGCGTGCTCCCCGTGAGGAGAGCTGAGGTCATCCTAGAGCCCCGAACAGAAGAGAAACTGAGAGATGTTACAAGCCAGAGGCCTGTCTGGCACCGACAAGGGGTCCCAGTCCCATTGTAACCCAGTCCCATTGTAGGCATTCAGGATGAGAAAAGGAGAGAAAGCATAGGGAGGGTCAACAGCAGCTCAAGGCTGCGGAGCTACCCCATGCTGCAGGCCAGTCCGACGTCCCTGTTCAGCAGGGTCTCTCTCCTCACTGCTGACTGTTTATGCTGCTGCAAAAGTAGTTAACAGAGGTTGGTCTTGCCTATAGGTAAAGACTTGGGGCTGGGGAGGACCAGATGTCCCCGTGAAGGGCTAAACTTCATGAAGGCAGGGAGCACCCCCTTTGTCTACTCAGAGCCTTACAGGGTGTGTGGCCCCGTCAGGCACTGAACGGAAGCATGAAGAAAAGTGAGTGAGAGACAGAGGTTGATGACGCCAAGGATCCATATTTGGACAGTGGGTATGCTGAGGTCGGAAGGCGTGGAGACTGGCACGGCAGCAACCACATCCCTCAGCAGTCTCCATTTCCCCCTTTTATTGCTTGCTATTCCTAGAAGAGGTCAGGCTAAAGCTCGTCCTCACCCTACTGTGGAACACAGACCGTCTCACCTGAAACCTAGAGCTGGACATTAGTCTATCTACTCTAAAGGCCTCCTGGATCGAAATCGCTTCTTCAAACTTCATTTCAGTTCAAAATATAGTCCCCCACCCTGTTCTGCCAATGTACATTCACACTCAAGACACACCACACAAGGAAAGCACCAGAACATTTTACCAAGTGGACAGAGGAACCCTGTCTAGTCATATGGGGAAAGAAAGCAAATTCTTGGTTTTCCCATGGTCAAGTTCATTTTACTAGTTTGCATCCATGGAGAAAGAGCTCACAACCTCTTAACCCATAGAGAACTTTACATATCCTCAAACAATAGCTAAGGGTAGTGGTCACAATTAACATCAGGAAAATAAAATGGATCGTTGGCTTACATTTTGATCAAACTGATGGCTTTGATCCTAACGGAAGAGTTCTCTGCAGCAACGAGAGGGGAAGCAGGGACAGAAGGTGCTCTGAGGGGCATTGGGACCTTGGATCTTGGAACAGTTACCTCTAGAAGTGGAGGACTCAGAGGTTGGTACCATTCGCTCCTCCTCCTCTTTCTCGCGAATATGTGTCCAGTGCACATCAGCCTGGATCTCCAAGGGGTCGGCCGGATTTATGATCTGCTGTAGCCTCTGGCTCCCAACTAGTATTCCAGGGTCAGAGGTGGAGGAGAGAAGGAAGGGAGAGATGATGGAGGAAGGAAGCAGAAAATAAACAGTCAAGGAAAGGAGGGGATGAAACACCACAGGAAAGGAAACAGAAAGAAAAGTTACTGTATTTGCCAGGATCAGTTTGAATCAGAAAGAGGCAAAAATTGAGAGTGTAAACACACACACACACACACACACGATTCCCACTTGTTCAGCTTGATTTAGTTGTTTCAAGCTTCACTTATACTGTTAATTTCAACGAAGAGAACCATACGTTCCAACTCCAAACAGAAAGAACTCTCCTTTCTGATGCTCTTTTCATCTTATCTGCATTTGAGGGACCCAAATGCCCAGTCAGAAGAAAGAGCAGGTTACAACTGCCTCTGAAGGGCCACCCCTCCAGGTCATGAGTACTCAGCACAGTGCCTACCGCCACCTGTCATGTTAACTGCTTCTCCTCTGAGATTTCAGCCAACTGACAAGAGAGAAGTGGGATGGGGCAGTATCATTCTGTCATGAACCAGCTAACTCACGCAGGATGGAAACTTACTTTGTTGGTACTTTAGTGTTTATCTTTTGCAGCTAGAGAGAGAGAGAAAAAAAATCCCCCTTCCATAATAGGTCTCATGCTGCATGCTGGTCTGTGGCAGGGACAGGGCAATGGGGAAAAAATGGAGTTTGGGGAGGCGATGGCTGGGAGAGGAAGCAGAGCTCTATCCTGTAAATTCCCAAAGCTTTGGGGGTTCGTGGGAAGGAATAAAACAATACCTCTTTGCTTTTTCTGAGGTCAAAACCCTTTTCTTTAAAACTCCATTTGGTGCCCCACTGCTCCCCTCTGGACACAAGACCTGCCTTTTTAGCTAAATGAGAACTCACCAGCAGCCCCTTCAAATTATTCCTGCTGCCAGAGCCCAAGGAATATACATGCAGCCCCTGCCCTGTAAGCTCCCTATAATCAGTGCTTGGACCATGCCATACAGTTGGGTTAAAATAAAGGAACAGCCAGTGACTTGGAGAGGGGACACTTCGGGAGGGAGGAAGGCTTTTCAGGCAGCAAGAGCAGGTGCCATCTGATCTGAAGGACTCTGGGATTCCTGATGGGAGCCCACTCTCAACAATCTAACTGGACAATTTGGCTTTGGCGTCACGATCACACAACCTCTTTTTTTTTTTTTTTTTTAACACAACCTCTTGATTTTTAAGCAATAGAGAATGTGATATGGACAGAAAGTACCAGTAAGATCACCAAATGTGGGTGCGGGCACCATGCTGTGTTAAATGTGGGGTGGTAACCCCGCATGCACTCTCTCGTTGGAACTGCTGGTCTCCACAGATTCATTTTCCTAAGGTCAACCGGCTTTTATGGTGTTGGATGGGGCTAAATCCCAGCAAAGTCACCCAACAGCTTGAATGTCATATGACTAAGGAAGGTAAGTCAAAGAGAAAGATGTGGATGCTATCTTCATCTTCTAAGCAACAAAGAGAAGACAGTGAGTCTTCCCCCTCAGATAATGTTCTGCATCCTGTTCATAAATGAAGCCTTGGGGACTTATCAGCCACCCTGTCCTCCTTTTTCAAAGAAAGGTTACAAGGCACAGTGGAGGGAGGCTCTGGGCACCTCTGCTGGTGATGGTACCCATGCCGCTCCGCCACTTACAGGCGCCGTGACTGCAACCTGAGGTTCTCTGCAGGAGAAGAGGCCGGGTCTTTGCTAGAGCATGGGGCTTGCAGCAAAGCATACAAGGGGCACAGACGGGGCCACATTCAATAAGGCTGCTTCTGGAGTCTTCTCCTCTGACTGCCCCTTGACTCTCCTTTGTCTTACATGCTATTTTGTACATGACCATTCATGAAGGCTGGCCCAGGGACAGGTGCCGAGCTAGGTACATGGCCAAAGCCTGCCAGGGCAGCTTTATAAAGCACAGATCTTTTCATGTGGGACCTGCTCTTGAAGGCAAATTCTGGATGGCTGCTAGGGAGCCAGGGTAGAAGGTGGGCAACGGGCAGAGCGGGTACCTTTACGTGTACCCATAGCTTCTTCCTTTGACAGCTGCTGGAGCCACTGGCCTTGCAGGAGTTCTCTGTCCCAGGGGCAGTACTCCCCTTCTACAGCAGGGGGAGCCAGACACCCACAAACACAGCATCAAGAATCCCACGCGGGGATAAACAGAAGAGAGAATGGAAGGGAGGAAAGAGAATAGAGAAGAGTTATCTTCAGGTGCAAGGCAAGAACAGCCTGTCACTGTCTACACAGCCATAGAAGTCCACTGCCCAGAAGCTACACACACCACGGGCTAGGAACACAGGTCCAGGGTTGGGCTGAATTTGTCGGTATGTTTCTCCCATTAAATCCCATCCCTGCAGGCTGGTTCTTGACGCTAGTTCCAGATCCAGGAAATTAAGTCTGTGTGGAGGAAAGCAGAGCTAAACTCTCCCACAAAGGGTACAGACTTTGACTCTAAGCTGTGTCTGGGGCTAAAGCCACCGGACATATGAATCACCAGCTAGAGATAATGACGTCTGAAATGATACAAACAAAACACCTTTCCCCCGATGCACTGTGAGCACGATCGCCCCCCTGACTACATGGACACGGGGGCAGCCCTGAGCCTGAGCCAGCCACAGCAGGATGGAGAACTCAAGCTGACAGCTTCCCAGCCCACGGCCTGCCTCCTCCTTACATGGACCTTACGCATTTCTCATCAGAATGAGGAGGGAGGGACAGGCCACCAAGGGCTGCCTCTGTAGGCCTCACCCCAGCCTCCATCTTTGGAGGGAAGAGCGCAGGAGAACTAGGTCTGGAGAAGCCCCTTAGGGGCCTGAGGAGGCTGTGCTTTCCTCTTGCCTGCCCTGCCTCACCAGGGGGAGCTACACAGCTCTCAGGACCGTCTCAGTACCGTGCACCCTGTCTGGGAAGGGCTCTGCATCTGGTCAGCACTCGGGCCTTCCCGTGCCAGGCTGCGGGGATGGGATCTGCGCGGCCAAGCACATGAATTCCGGGAGGGGCAGAGGTAAGCAGGAAGAGCAGCAGAGAAATCTAGTGCCAACTCCTCGAGGCCCAGTGCTGTCCTGAATTTAACGTGCTCCTCTGACAACGGCTGGGAAGGACTGGTGCTTTAAAGGCCCATGTCCTTCTCCACTCCATGTGCCCTGGGGAGAGAGCTCGGCCGTGAACTGACATGGCACCGCTGTCAGGGGGACTCAGGTATCTACCTGCCCTAGTTTCTTCCTTACCACCCACCAGACTTCTGTGCAGCCAGGGCAGGGAAAGAACGACCCTCTCTCTTACAGAGGCAAGAAAAGGAGACCCAAGTTCTTCCTCATCACTCAAAGACACACACAGCCAGAGACAGGGACAGAACTGAAACATTTCAAGTCAGAGCCAACCAGACTGACTTAGTGCTGGAACAGATGCTCCTTCTAAGGACACTGGTCCAAACACGTTACTACCTGTCATCAACCGAGCCTTGTCTCGTGGGCACCTAGCCCCTCCTCAGTGACTACAGCTCTGAGCAGAGTGAGATTCAGTGCTCTGCAGCCTCCAATATCCTGGACTCTGAGTCAGGGAATCCTCTAGAAAGCTAAATTCCCTTTATTAAAATAAATTTCTTTAACTGAAACTAAGGAAAAAAAGAGAGAAAATGAGGATAGGAGGATGAGTAACCTTATTTGGATGAAGTCCTTCTGCTGACCCTCTGCCTTCCACTTCCAGTTTCTCCTCAGAATGTGCACAAGGGACTCTATTGTCAGTGGCCTCCTCTGCCCCCGAAACTAAGGTCAGAAAGAGGCAGGAGGGATGGTCTCTGGGGCTGTGGGAGGCACATCTGTGTGCCAGACTCCAGCTGTGTGACTCCAGCCACAGAAACCTTACTCAGGCATGGAACAGACTGCCTCTGGGATGGGACAGGATCAGAGTTAGGAGAAGAGATTTTTTTTCTGACCTTCACTAGACTCTTCCTCCTCCTCCTCATATTCTTCCTCCTCCTCCTCCTCTTCATACTCTTCCTCCTCCTCCTCTTCGTTCCCAGGCCCGTAGCTCTTTGAGGCCTCTAGTTCCTCTTCACTCTTTCCTTTCAGAAGAGCATGGATCCTCACAGCCTCCTTCCAAGGAACGCCACCCAGGTCTGAGGTGGGCAGAGGAGGCTCCTCCTCCTCCTCTTCCTCCATCTCGGACTCAGAACTGCTGTGGGGGAAACAACCACACAACCAAAGTGAGGAGACGGTTAAAAGCCACAACTGGAGGCAAAATGTCCCAGCAAAGCAACTGCTGGGCAGGAAGGGAGAGAGGACAGGCACGGAGGGGTGCAGCAAGCTCCCCCGCCCCGGTAAGACACACGAGGGGAAGGAGAGTGAGTAGAGGGCCAGAGAAAACACACACGTACGCGTAACCCTTACATAAAGCCCCATGAGCCAACAGTCCAGTCTGGTGGGGCCCTCTCTTCGGTGAACAGCACTCCACCGAGCTCAGTTTTAGAGGCCCTCAGAGACAGTAGGGGGCATGGACCCATTCAGATATGAACGCATGACCCCAGGAATCAAGAATGGAGAGAAAGTCTCCTTTCCTCATGATCTACTGTTTGATTTGAGGAACTCAAATCTGCTTGACTCAGGTGGGCTGGAAAGCTCTGGTGAGAAGCACGGTGAGAAAGAGCTGCCTCCAGGAGGCCTGAACTGCAGTTTTAGCCACAGACGGGCTGGCCATCGAGGTGCGTGTGCTGGAGTGAAGGCCACACACTCAGTCCCGCAGCGTTCCCGAAGCCCCCCCGATGTGTGCCCTGGAGCGCGACACTATGAGGAACGCACAGTTAACACAGCAGCAAAGGCACCGCTCACTGAAGTTGCAGAACAGGGACCATGGGGAGAGCAGGGAAACAAATACTGCATCCCTGGGACCATCACCCTTGACAACCAGCCACGTTTTCCACCATTCTCCCTGACGGCACAGAGCCCAGTGCTCAGCTCGAAAAGGGAAGTGGCACTGAAATGCCAGAGACACTAGCTGTGACTTAAGCAAGCCAAAATCACAGACCTCCACCCTCGTGGCCACCACCCCAGAGCATCTTTACCCTCCTCCCCTGCGGCAGAGTGAGCAGTCAACAGGTGGTACAAGAATAAAATTCAGTACTCTCAGTGGGGCTGTAAAGCAGGAGAAAAACCCCAATCATCACCGCACCAACGAAGTTTCTCAGACCTATTTCATGGTCCGATAATTCCCCAGAAGTCTTTTTCAGGAGAGGCTTTGCCCTCAGTGAGAAATGTGTAGTTGACTGGGCTGGAGGACATGTGGCTTTTACAATCCAGCAGGGCCCAACCGCTGGGATGAGAGAGCCCCAAACCCCAGAGGCGTCGCGCACGGGGTTGTTGTCCAGTCTGTCTTCCTGTGATGGTGGGCTGCTCTCTCCCCACCCGGAGTGGGGTTGTGCACGTGGAGAAGGAACCAGTGAATACAGTGTGAGAAGGTCAATGACACCCCACTCCTAGCGCTATTAGTACCTGTGCAGTAAAGAATCCCACCTTCCTCAAAGAGGCCTGGCCTTTGTCTTGGGGCCTGGGAGGTCAACCCTAAGCCCCCCGGAAGTCCTGCCTGATGGGAATGTCTTATTTCCCTGGAATCCCTGGGTCACGGTGGAGAGTCTAACAATGTGATTTAGGGAGAGGGCTGACCACGTCTGAAAGACGAATAATTTAGGCTTGAATCACGCAGTATTAGTTGGTCTGGAGACTGAGATCAATCACACCACATAGATAATCAATCAATCAATGCCTGGGTAATGGAGCCCCAATACATCTCTTAACATCAAGGCTTGGGTGAGTAACACTTTACGGACTTTGTCACACATTAATACCAAGAAAGTAACACTGCCCTGACTCCACAGGGAGAGGATGATGGAAGGTCCGCATCTGTACTTTCTTGGCCTCTGCCCTGTGTACTTCTTCACCTGGCTGATTTCAATCAGTATCCTTCCCTGTAATTAAACCATAACCATGAGTATAAACCTTTTAGTGAGTTCTGACAAATTAATGAACTTGAGGGTGGTTTTGGGAACTCCCATACTTCAGCCGAGTCAGAAGGGAGGGCAGTCCTGGAGGCTGTCTGCCCACGACTTCTCAGGTGGCCAATTCTCACAGGGCCACACTGGCTCTGTTCCTTACCAGCTGTATGACCTTGAGCTGATTACTTCTGCGGAGTTTCCGCATCCTCATCAGTAAGGAGGCAATGTTAATACCTGCCTTGGAGAAATGTTGTGAAGGTTAGGGATTTTCCTGATTTTCATGTTTGTGTTACACTCTGGGATTCAGGCTATTCACTTATCTGTTTACTCATTTACATGTTCCTTCATTCATTCAATGAACATTTTTGAGTACCTATTAAAGTTCACCCAGTAGGTACAAAAATAAAGAGGGTCAGCTTCTTACTGTAGGCAGCTCCCTCTGGCGAATACTACTTCATTCACTTATTCATTCATCCACCCACGAAAACTTGCTTAGCATCTTCTACTTGTAATGCACTTCCTAGACACTGCAGAGGATACAAAGGTGACATAGAAAAGATCCTTATTCTCATGGGGAGCTAAGATGCAAACACGGCAATGACAAAAGAAGGTAGAACATAACTGCAGTGGGAGGGTTGAGAGGAGGCAGTTTAAGGTGAGTAAACATAAGAATTTGGGCCACGGAAAGCTTGGCATTTGGATTGTGACTTACTTTCATGACTTACTCAGGTATTATTTTTGCCTTACTTTTGTGTTTTCATTTGTTTACATTCTTACTACTTATCAACAATGTGTAACCCAACGTATATCACCTAACATCTTTCAAATATGAAATAAGGATAAGAATGACTACTACGCTCATCTTAAATCTTACGTAAATTTGTTAAAATTTTAGGTGGGTAGAAGGCAGGCCAGCTTGTCCTTCCTTCACAGCCAGGCATACAAGGTTACCCCTGGAGTCAGCAGGCTCAAGGAGTCCTCACTGCAGCTTTCCAGCTCCTTGTACCGTGTGCCCTGTCACGAGGGCAGTGGCACTGGGCATAATGTGAGCAATGAATACTCCATGATGAGGGCAATGGGGCCTCACTTAGAGCTCTGAGTGCCACCCTGGCTAGTTTTACGATAGCTCAAGGACCAAGGGAAAATAGCAAGTGAAGCACAGAGCATAAAAAATCGGGTGGAAAGGTCAACCCTTGCCTCTCTTCATAAGCTACCAGCTCTCAGTCCATTTCCGAGAGGCCTGGCTACATTGCTTCTGAAAATCTGAGACAGGCAAACCAGCCTCCCTCCCTTTGTGAAGGACAGAGAGACGAACAGGTATTGCCAACTGTTCCTTCCCAGGTCATATCTCCCTGGGACCTTGGAGCTGTCCTTTGAGTCTCACCAGGCTCCTTACCTCATGCAAGATTCACAGTGTAAATTCAGTATCTCAAGCTCATTCTACATTTTCTGGCTGTTTTCAGTACCTGAATTTCTGGGTCTGGCCTTTGAAGAGGCTAGGAGGAAGGGAGTACAGGAGGAATGTAGTGTGAGGCAGACCACCCCCTGCCACTTGGTTGTCAGCCTAGAAAGTTTTTAAGTGGGGAGAATCGCTACACCAGAACAAAATACAACACAGACAACCAACTTCTCTGTCCTTTTGGGAAGAGAGGGTGACCTCTCAATTTATAGCCTCCTAGGAGAGATGAGGGCCAGAAATTGTAGTCCTCAAGGTCAGCATTCCATCATGACAGGTATCTGTTTCTGCATTTGAAACAATCTATCGCTGTGTGTGACTGTTCGATGTGGGTGGGCTCCCCCTGGACTGCGAGCTCTCTGACAGCAAGGTCAGGTCTGCTCGGCTCGCTGCAGGGCTTACCATGGGGTCTCGCAGAGCCCAAACAGGCAAGGATGTGCAAGGGAGCACAACCGGGCAAAGCCAGGGCAAGCTGCTGCCTAAATTCACAGAGGTCATGGAGATGAGACCTCTGAAGTCCATCAGTAGGAGCAGACCCTTTCGGTTAGAAGAACATCTTGCAAAAATCCTCCCTGCTACAATATTTATGCTGTCACTGATCTCAAAGCACTTTCCCTGAGTTTCCTCTCATTGAGGCTATGATTGGGCCTGGTAGGAGGAAGCCAGAGCAGGGCACACGGACTAGATTCTAAAAAAACAAGATTTGCTCCACACTTAAATGGGCCAAGCAGAGGTTCTGCCACGCCAGGAGAGGAAGGGCCAAGGATGATAACAACAGCGATAGTGAACACTCACTGAGCTCTACGAACTGCTACGCAGCACAAGGCACTTCACATGAATTAGGTCACTTAATTACACATTAACTCTAGGACACGACAACTCTGGGACTCTAGGACATACTAATATCCCCACTGTTATAAATGAGGCCATCGAAGCTTAAAGAGGTTGGATCCTTGGTGTGAGAGGTCAGGATTCCCACCGATGTCCACACCATTGTCACACTGTGCCTTCTTGGATGGTTTGCCAAGAACCCAGGAGTCCTTCAGCCACTAGCAGCTGTCAGGGTGACAAACCCAGAAATAAGACCAGGACCATCTCCTTGCTGCCTGGGTCCAACTTCACAAAGTGGAGACTGGAAATTTGGGCAGACCCTACTGTGAATGAGACAGACTGCTGTGTGAAATATCACTTTAAGTTCTCAGGTGGTTTTCAAGGGAAAATAGGGAATCATAGCTTTCATTTTTAAATGAATCCACTCTATAATCAGAGAGTCCACTCCTAGATCTCATCCACTCTGACAACTGTGTGAACACTACACTGCTCAGCAGACTGCTGGAGATGTATGTTGTCCAGCAATCATTGCACGATGGAAATTTAATCTGTGCTAAAAGCGGCATCCTGCTCAGCAGTGGCTCACATTACTGCCTCTGCTGGCAAAGGGGTGAGGGGGAGAGAGGACCAGTCAGAAATTTCCACTTGCTTATGGTCAGCCTTGAAGGAGGGGCTTCTCCTCATTGTGTTATTCCCATGGAAGACCAAGCCCCTTCGGGCTAGCCCGTCACGGACTTTCGGGGAGTCCTCTGTGACCTGGCTGCCCCATCCGGAAAGGGCACCTGTTTGCTCTAGACCTCACTGACTTGTTCTTCAGGGTCAGGGATGTGCAAACACTGGAGGCCCTCAGCAGATGGGTGCTGCCCAAGCCATCTTCATCACCTGGGGCAAAGTTGCCCAGCTAGGCAATCAGGGGTAAACAAAACTAAAATCATAAAGCTAGTTTTTGCGATGCC